GAACGAAGTGGAAAATACCTGAGCAGAGATGTAGTTCAGAAAACCTGGGAGGGGAGGTTTCTCTCCTTCTTAAACCTGCCTTTTCCAGTGTAAGTATTTCACTTGGAAGTAGGATTTTTTTACTGGCAAATAGAAAAATAATCTGCCTTTTTTTTAAAATTGTAATATTATTGCAGAGCCCTACATACTTGAAACAATAAAACCTGTAAAAGTCACATGGCAAGAAGATCCACGTTTCCAAGACAGCAGTTCTGAGGGTGATGATGAACCAGAGGCATCAGAAGTTGAAAAGGACCAAGAAATGCAAGTTATAGTTGTATTTGTTGTCTACTTGGTTGTAGTACTTTGATGCAGTGAGAATATTGATAGCAGCACCCAGGTCATGGGAAACTGAGATCTTTGTTTCACATCTCTGAGCAGTGGAAGTTGTCTTGGAAAACCATTCCTTGCTGCACAGAGTGTAATAGTCAAAAATCCCAACAGCCTGTTTGATGTGACGTTGGGTATAAAAACATAAAAGCTGAGTTTCTGGTTGAACACCTGAGAAATTAACTGGGTAATTCTGGTTTGACCCAAACCAATTTTGGTTTGGCTAAAACTCAAAGTAAGTTTTCTTTTAAAAAATGGTTTTGGTTTGTTTTTTTTTTTATAGAAAACCATATTTGGTTACTGTGGAGTCATGTTCTTGGATGCATTCTCTTTCTCTGAAGCTTTAACTTGTGTTAGTGGAATTTGATGGTAACTTTTGTGATGGTAGAATTCCCCTGTGTTTGTCCAGGTTTATTTCTTTACCACACAGAGAAAGTACAAGATTTTTCTTCTTCTCCAAAGATGATGAACGACTGAGAGGTACAACAGAACTTATTCACTTTCACTCATTTTTTTTTTTTTTCTTTTAACTCATTCTGAAATTCAGTGAGGAAAAAATACTGCCTAGTTATTTGTTTTGTAACACATGTGAGAGGTTTAAGAAAAAAAAAATTAAATTGCCAATTTCTGTCATTACTTGTGGTCTGAATTGTGGTAGAATCCCATGAGAAAGTTCTGGTAAAATAAATGCTGAATATCTGTCTTGCTTTCCTTTTTTTCAGATAATTGCCTAATATGTGACTGGTCTTTCAGGCCTTACCAAAAAAAAAAAAAAAAAGACTTGACAAGTTATCTAAACATTTTGGATCCTTTCAGGCACATATATGATCTTTAACTTTCTTTTGACTTTCTGGTGTTACTGTTAGAAATGCTGAATATTCTTATTAGCCACATATGCCCATGTGGTTCTCAATCCTAATTAATCTGAGGGTTTTTTTGTATGAATATAATGAGTTTTTTATTTAAAACCAAACCAAACACCACACCCCCAAAAAATTTCATGGACCACAAAAACAGTTGATTGTGATGTTTTATGCACTAAATTATCAGGACAGCCTCAAATAATGTTTGTTTCTTGAGACATATTAGGTAACTATCATTAAATATGTTGCTGTGTTAGTACAGTTGCTGCACTGCAATCTTCCAGGCTGTCTGATTTATAGGCCCTGTTAAAAGTGAAATCTCAATCCTTAGCAGGCATGAATTTTCTTGAGAGATGTGGGATAATGGTGCTGAGCTTTTACTGAAACAGATGCCATTTCAGTGCAATTTATATTTTGGCATATTAAGGAAAACTGCTGCTGCCTTTTATTTTTCTTAGTACACAAAGCAGACATTCAGAACATTTTGTGGGAGCCAACCATGTTGTGAGGGGCAAGAGATTATGAATGATATGAAGAATATGAAGAATAGACCTTCTGACTTTACTGCTGTGTTGCTCATGAGTTTTACAAACAGCAGCATAGTCAGAAGTGTTTAACCATATTAATTTGTTCTTTTTTGTGCAGAGGGCCCTAAGTTATTTTGTAGATCAGTAGATCTCAGTGAAGAAAAAGATGGCTGGGAAGACAGACGTAGATTATTGCTTGAGGTGAGTATTTAACAGCTGTGGCTGAAAGCTGAGCATGAGGAGGGAACACGGCTGCTTATTTGCATAAAAACATAATTCAGGACCTCTAGAAAGGCTTGAAATTTTGTAATTACCAAGGAACTAAACTTTTTTAGTGTAAAAGTGAGTATAACATAACACCATGTTAGGATGTCCAGTCAGGCAAATTACTGAATCTCTGCGTTGTACAGGACCAGTTACTTAACTGTATGTTAAAAAAGTGTTTGAGACAAATAGGTGGATTCAGAGACTTGTATTATTCATTATTATTTTATTCATAATATTATATTTTAAATATTTTCAGGAATGCCGGAAGAAGCACAAGGATGCAAAAAGAAAAGTGAAAGCAAAACAATAAATATTTTTTACCCTACTGATCAGAAATGTTTCATGTTTCATCTTTGAAGAAGTTGCAAAACAATGTTACTTTCAAAATACTTTCAGAAATCTAGTAGGAAATAATAATTTTGGCAAAAACTACTCAGACTTTGTTTCTACATAGGAACATGTTTATTCTGTCAGTTCAATGTTTGTACCAAGGTCTGGGGATTTGTATGTGTGTGTACATATATATATATATATAAATATACATAGGGTTTAAATGTGACTTGCTGCTTTCTAGGATTTTTGATAATTGGATCATGTAACAAAGACATTCTGCTGTGTCCTCTGGCCCCAGTGCTGAACAGGGCTGAGAAAGAGCAGATAGCTCTGTGTCTGTAAGACTACAAAACTTGTATTCTGCCTAATATAATAGAGATAATATTTACAAATATTCAGAATGTGTTATTTGCAGGGTGAACTGTCCCAGAAGTTAATGAAAAGGCATATATAACAGGGCAGACTTATGAAATGGATAATTTGTATTTGTTCACAGAGCTGATTTTTTACTTTTTTACTGAGTTTGTATATTAATAAATATAGAGGACAGATGTTGCTGGTGTTGTATGCTTGGTATTGAATGAATATTTATATGTATAAGTCATGTCCACTTAGCCCCTCTGCTGCAGAGGGTCTGCTGGAGCAGACAGGCTCTGCCAAACCCACCCTGGGCACCCTCTGCCCAGCCCAGGGGACCCTGGACCAGGGTCACCAAGGTGCTTTGGCTCTTACCTGCACCCAGACCAGTAATTTTAAGAGATACTAATGTGTTTAAATATAATATTAATAATACTGTCCTAACAGCATTGAGTTTAAGGTGGTGGGTGTCATAGGTTTGAAAAGAGATGTTGGAATTTTCGTTTTCTTCCCTAGGGTCCCAAACCCCCTCCCCCATCTGTTTCTTCTGGGATGGGGGGAGTTGGGAACGGGGTGGGGGCAGAGCGGGGCTGCACGTGCAGGAGTGGGGAGAGAGGGAGATCTCCTGGGGAAGTTTGTGGCTGCAGGGAGAGCTGGGGGAGTCCTTTGTTCGAGGGGCTCTTGGGTTTGGTCCAGGACCGGACAGAGTGGGAGCCCGGTCTTTGGCCACTTCTTTCCCTTTTCCTGAGGGGAAGTTTTTTCTCCCCATGGGACACCTTGCAGAGAACGACTGAGAGACAGAAACCGACCCATCTCAGAGCGAGGTATTCTGCTTTCAAGACTGTCTGTGGGGAAAAAGGGACTTAATTCTTTGCTGGCTGTGAGCAACTGTTGAACTGCCAGGACAGTCCTGCCTTCTCTCCCCCCTGCCTGGATTGCCACAGGTTTCTCCCACCACACCTGGGGAATTGGGACTTTGTTTGTGTTTGTTCTGAAAGTTTTTGATTGCACCATTTGTTGTTTATTTAGATTTTGTTAATAAAAAGCTGTTTCTTTTCCACACTTCCACCTGAAGTTTCTTAATTTCTAAGTTGTAATCTTTAGACAGTAAGCAAATTATTCTGTATATTACTTTTCAGATAGAGTACTATTGGCCTCTCCAGTTGCGTGTTTCAAAATGGATTCTGTTTCCAGAAGTGCAGGAAGTTCTTAGGTCACCAGGGAATTTGCTGTAACTGCCTGTCTGTGCTGCCATGGACCCCTGAGGGAGCAGGAAAGCAGCTGAGTGCACCAGTTCTGGAGCACGGGGTTACTCCTTCCCAGGAGCAGGACCCAATGGTTGCCTTTGTGCAGCATGATTAGGTGCCTCTGTGCCCAACGCTTGAGCCTGCCCAGGACTCGCTGGAGGGCAACAGAGCCTTGTGGTGCCTCAGCCACTCCTCCCAGTCCCATATCATCAGCAAACGTGCTGAGGGTGCTCTCCGTCCCTTCTGCCAGGTCACTGGGCAACTGGTCAAACGAGGCTGGCCCCAGAACTGAGCGCCACGCTCACAACCCTCTGAGCTCCGCCATTCAGCCAGGTCTCAACCCCCGCAGTGTCCACTCGTCTAAGCCACACTTCCTGAGCTGCCTGTGAGGGTGTTCTGGGAGGTAGGGTTAAAAGCCTTGCTGAAGTCATGGCAGACAACAGGCACTGCTCTCCCGTCATGTACCCAGCCAGTCACTCCAGCAGAGAAGGCTAGGAGACTGCTCAAGCATGATTTTCCCTTCCTTTTATTCCACAGGCTTCGAGATGACATGCAGCATGAGCTGTTTGTCCCCTTTCTGGGGATGGAGGTGACCCTGATGGGCCTATCATTTCCTGGGTCCATCTTGCTGCCCTTTTTGAAGACTGGAGTGATGTTGGCTTTCCTGCAGTCCTCAGGCACCTCTGCTGGGGAATCAGCGTCCCTGATGTGCTGGCAGTGTTCCCTCTGGCTGGGGCAGGAGCAGAGATTTGCCTTGGCCAGGGCCAGAGCCCTGAAGTGGCACTGCCCGAACAGCACTTTTCGTGCAACAGCGGCTGCCCAAGAGCCCTCGGTGGCTGCCCCAGGGCCTGGCATTTGACCCTGCTCTTGCTGCAGCAGCAGCCGCCCCGGCTCTGTGGTTACCGAGGGCTCGGGACCCGCCTCGGAACCTCGGTTACCAAGGGGCTGCCTCACAGTGGGTGATGGGGGGCTGGGGCCATCCCTGCCTGTATTTCAGGTGCACGATGCTGATGTCACAGTGGCCACTGTGACCCGTGAGGCCAAGGGCACAAAAGGGGACTCTGGGCTCAGGCCCAGTGTCAGTTACCTGATCACGAGAGGAGAAGGAAGAGGAGGGACAGCCCCCCTCTTGCAAGCGCCTCTCGATTCTTTTGAACAGAGAGTGGAGGAGCACCTGGAAGAGACCTTGGTGTTCCTCAACCAGACGACAGGAGACGGCAGAGAGAGACCGGGCTCACACAGGGCTGACCAGCGAGTCAGGGGGCTCTACGCCTCAGGGCTCTGGCCCTGTGTTGCAAACTAGTCTCACTTCTGCCTCAGAACCAGTGAAGGAGCACCTGGAAGAGACCTTGGTGTTCCAACGACAGGGACCCACTACTGACAGTCACCATGTCAGACTCGGAAGAGGAGGCCCCCGAAGGGAGGGAGCAAGGTGAGAGCAAAGTGCCCCTCCCTCAGCCTGGCAGAGGGGCTGTCGGGGCGGGCAGTACAGGTGCCATGCCCGGGGCCATTGTCTCTCTCCCCTCCAGCATGCCTGCTGTGTCAGCGACCAGACACTGACTCGGACATCTGCGGGGAAAAACTCTACATACATGGGCTCTGTGCCCATGAGTTCTGCCTGGTGAGTTGCTATGTGGGCTCCCTCCACTTTTTGCCAGGCAGTCCCTGCCACTCTCTCCTCATCAGTGAGTGTCATTTTCCTGCAGTATTTTGCCAGCAACTTTCCTGAACGCCCGGTTCATCGAGTAGACATCTGGGGTCTTCACGCATGGGAGATCCGAGCTGTAGTCTCCCAGGCGGCAGAGCAGGTGAGAGCCTGACAAGAGCAGGGAGATTTGTGCCAGGCGAGGTTTGCTGGAGCTTAGCTCAGACCCCAAGCAAGAAAGCCCAGCCCTTCCAACCAGCTCTGGGAGAAGGAGGAGGCCCTGAGGCTGCTGCTGATGGGGCTACTCTGCTCTTTCCAGAGCTGCTGCATCTGTGGCGAGAGCGGGGCCACCATCTCCTGCTGTGAAAGAGACTGTGACCTGAACTTCCACCTGCCCTGTGCCAAGCAGGGACGCTGTGTCACCCAGTTCCACAGACCATTCAGGTACCTCCTGTCCCTTCCTTGCCACCACCACTTCTCACCTCACCCACCCCTTTTCCCCCCAGGGCCTTCTGCACCACACACAGCCCAGAACAGGCAGTGGAGGCGACTCCAGAGCCGGGCACCGAATGCCTCATCTGCATGGAGCCTGTGGAGCACAGAAAGACTTTTAATACCATGGTGTGCCCAGCCTGCAAAACCGCCTGGTTCCACAGGGACTGCATCCAAGTAGGAGTGGTTCCCTCACCCCGGGGGCACAGCAGGGGCTCAGCAGCACCAGGGCCTCACTCTCACTACTTGTGTTTCTCCTGCAGGGACAGGCTATGCATGCTGGTTTTTTCTCCATCCAGTGCCCCCTCTGCAGAAATGATAACGCATTTATCAGAGATATGTTAACCATGGGGATCCGAATCCCCTTGAGGTTCGTGTCCTTCTGCCTGGCTCACGACACAGGGGGTGCAAGTGGCAAGTGCTGTGCCAGGGCCTGCCCCAGCAGTCCAGGCCCTGCCCTGTTCTGTGAGTCCCGGGTTCAGCTTCCCACAGGAGCTGGAAATGGCACAGGGGGAAGAACAGGGACACCCTGCACCTGCCTGATGCCAGGGCAGAGGGAGTTCATCAGTTTTCCTTTTCCCATCAGACCACCATCATGGGAGGGCCTTAATGCATTCACTGAGCTGGGAGACAGACACAGGCGCTGCGATGCCACTAAGTGCCTTTTTCCAAGAGGCAGGCAGGCGGCAGAGGAGGAGGGGTAAGTTGCCAAAGCTGCATCCTGGGCCTCTGCAGGGCTTGAAGCAGAAGGACCCAGGAGAAGATCTCAGCCTGATAATCCCATGCTTTGGGCACTTTGTCCTCACCTCCATGAACCCGTTTGCTTCCCCAGGCCCTGGGAACTGCTTCTGTGCTCCTCCTGTGCTGCCGAGGGCACCCACAGGTACTGCTCTGGCCTGAGGCACAGTATAACCAGCTGGGAATGTGATGGCTGTGCTGGCCTGGGCACAGGTAAGAGGCAAAGCACCCTGCTGACCCTGGGCCTGGTGCCCCTGGGCATGGCAGTGGGTGCTCAGGGAGGGTTTGGTGGAGCCTGTCTGCTCCAGGAGGGCTGGCGGTACTGCTCTGCCCTATCCTGCCCCAGGTCTGGGGTGACCTTGACATTCCTGCTTCCCCTCACAGCTCCCCGAGATGAGTCGGAGCTTGCTGCTGTCAGCGTGGCCAGACAGTCTGGACTGGAGCCTTCTGACGGCTCCAGAGAAGCCGAGACCATCAGCCCCAACACAGGCAGCCTGGTGCTATCAGGGCTGTCTCCTAGTTCTGCACCACTGGAGACCATCAGCCCCAGCACCAGTGTACCTGTGCCATCTCCCGGAACTTCAGCACCACAGAACAGACACCACCGTACCAACCGCCAGGCAACATCGGAGCAGTCTCTGGAATCTTCCTCACAGGAGACGAGCAGCTCCAGCCCTGACAGTCAGGTAACATCGGGGTCATCCCAGAGCAGCTTCACAGAAACTGATGACAGCAGCTGCTCCAGCAGT